GAAGCCCAATTTCGGCCTAACCGAAAGACGGTTCCGACAAAAATTATAGTAGAATTCAATTTGTTAAAAAAATATATAATAAGGATAATTTGGTAAAATATACATTCCAATAATCTTTTATTCCTTTAACCAAACACTTTAATCTTACATTCCTGCTAAACGAACCAAACACAATAATGCAACATTCCCAGTAATCTTATTCATGTCAGTAATCTTACATTCCGTAAATCAAAGCACCCTTAGTGAGTGGTTAAAAGCTTTCAATTGACAACTTTTTCCTAGATTGTGGGTAAACTATCGATTTTTTTTAAAAATATATTATTTTAATTTAATGCCATATATTAATAAAATTTATTTATTAATCATAAACATGATAAAATTTTAATATAAAATAATTTTAATTTAAATATAATCCAAACAAGAAGGTTGTGTTTTTAGTCATTTGGATCATTCGAACAAAATATTCAAACACTAAAAAAGAAAAAAAATGGATTAAAATATTTTTTTAAATAATTGATGGTAAAAAACATCATTGTATCTAAATTATATAACGTACTAAGAATGATGCAAATAAGAAATGAGTAGCTTTAGTATTTTTTTACTATTAGATTATCGAAAAGAAAAGATTGGATAAAAATTCCATATTAAATTGATTCTAAAAAATATAAATACAAATGGAATCATAAAATTTCTATATTAACGTTTTTATCTTTAAAAAATAAAGTATTTCTTCAATTGGATAGGTTCGTGTAAGGACATTAAATAAATAAGAAAAGTGTTTTTATTTTGTGCTATTGATACATTTTTCATCTTCTTATGTCAAATGTTTTTGGATTAATTTCTTATAAATTCTATCAATTTTTTGTCGCATTTATATGTTGGGTAAAAGTTATAAAATTATTATATTTGTTGAAAATTTGAAAAAGAAAAAAAAAAGATAAATTTAAAGTTATTTCGGGATAAACTGACCATATAATATATTTTTCAATTAAGGAAATGATTGAATACGATAATGGATCCAATAAAGAAATGTGAATTAAATTCAAATCATTATTATTTTAGCCTTTTTATTTTTATTATTATTAAAATTGAAATATTATTATAATTATGTTACTTCTTCTTTCAATCAATTCATATTATGCAAGTCATTTTAATTTTAAAACTAATTTGAATATTAGTAATATGCACAGAATTATTTTATGTATAAGATTTTAAATTTATACAAAGTCAAGTAAATATATATATATATATATATATATATATATATATAATAAAATTTGGAAATATTTATTTTGGATAGTTATTCAAATAAGGAAATATAATATTATTTATATAATTAAAATGTATAATAACTTTTGTAACACCCCAATTTAGGGGTTAAATTTAAGAAATTATAAAGTGGTGAATTTAATTGGTATTTTTGGAAGAAATTAGGGATTAAATTGTAAAATAGTAAAGTTGGAATACTGTTTTAAGAAGTACAGGAAGTTCAGTGACTAAACTCATGGTTACCCAATTTTATTATGAGTTGAATTATAAACCCTTCCCGTGCGCAGGTTCTCATATTTTTCAGTTTTCTCTTCTCCAATAACCCTCCTTTCAACTTTGATCTACTCGCCGTCTGACCTCGATCGATGAACTCAAACCACCATCGTATTCGTTGTCGATCGAGGAACAAAACCCCTCAAACCTTTCGTCATGAATCGTCGCCGTTCGTCGTTAATTTCAGTCAGAAGTATCGTCGGTAATAACTCGATTTCAGTTGGTTTTTCATCGATTCACGACGATTTGGTCATCCGTTTACGACACCTCCTGCACCATCGTGTTCCTTGCATCGTTCTGAGTCCACCGGTGTTCTTTGTTTCTCTGTCGTCGCCGACGCGTGGAAGGGTGAGACCGTCAAAGTTTCTGACGTTTCGGAATCGAGCTCTTCGTTATTCAAAATTGTGAACCGAGCTTGGTAAGTGTCTCAAAATGCCTTAAAATAATTTTTAGAAATTTTTTCGAGAATTTTCCAACATATTGTTACTGTTCACGCGCCACTCCCGAGAGTGGGCATCGTCTGATTGTAATTAATTTCTGTTTGGGTGCTATTTGTGTAAAATTCGGGTGTTAGTTTCGTAAATATTTACAGAAAGTGGTTGATTTTGTAATTAATTTCTGTTAGAGTAATATTTTGTAAAATGGTCGACTGTTGACCTGCGTTGACCGTTGACCGGTGTTGACCATAGTTGACCGGAACTTTGACTAGCGTTGACCGGACATTAAACGACTTTTGACTTTGATCGAGTATACATATCCTAATGTTTTTCGACATTCCAAATCCTATTTCGCATTCCGTTTTTCGAAATTCGGACCCGAAGGTCTCGAAATTACCAGTCAAACCCGTTGACTTTGACCTGAAATTCCAAATTTTTGGAAAGTCATATTTTATGCTTTCTACGTCCTGAATCCAAATCCGAAGTCTTTTCACCAAATTTGAACCGGTAAGTTGTTTTTCACTGGTTTATCATCTGATTCGATCCGTTTTTCAGAATTTAGCTCAATTTTGATGTAATTTCTATTAATTTGGATCCGAGGAAATAATGGAAGATGATTTCAAGATCAAAGACGTTCGAATGGAATTTATATGTCGATCAATATGCCACAGAAATCGAGGTAATACTTTACTACCTCTTTATGCTTTATGGAACATGTGAATATTGATAAATGCATGAATAAATAATGTTGGTCTCATTTGGGTAGTTAATGAATTTCTACACTTGATCCGAATACAGTAGAAATTTGGTAACTGATTATGGTTCAGAGAACTTTTATAAGAAATTGAGGATTGTTAGAATTAAATTTCAAGTTATGTGTTTGGTAATAAAGAAATCAACCTGGATCTGTATCTTAAAATTTATTTCATCAAAGGTCAAATGTTAAAGGTACTTGGATGGGAAATTATGAGAATACCCTGGTAGGGTAAAATTACGAAAATACCCTTAAGTTGTTATATGTCAAGAATTGTCCCTGGAAGTTGATTTATAACTCTGAAATGATATATTGATATGATAAAACTACATGTGCATAAGAAATACTAGTTTGCTTAGGAAATTCGGATAATCGGTTTTCAACTCTAAGAGGGTTTATGCACGATACTAGAAATCCGTTAAGGAATCTTTTTAATATTTGAGAATGTTCTGAAAATAAATTAACCATAGGATCTTTAAATTATAATTATTTTCGTTAAGAGCTAATATCGAAATTATTTGGTTAAGAAATTATGAAAATGCCCTTGAGAGTTAAATAGTCTGAGTTGACTCTGAATGGGAAAGTACTTTGAGGATTCGTATTTAACTCGATTAAGTACGGATTTGATTGTTAAGATCCTGACTTAGTGAAGAAAAATTCTTGATATTTCGTTGGTAAAAATCTGAGAAGGTATTTGACCCGAAAATATCCGAGTTATGGGTAAATACCTGAAGAACAAATTATTGGGGATGTTCTTTTGTCAGAATTGTTCGAAGGGACTGAAATAAATGATAAGTTTGAATTCAATAATAAGATCGGACGGAAGAAAATGATTGTAATACATTGGATCTGTAAAATGACCAGAATACCCTATAATGGAAATGACCCAAGAATATCACCAAGCATGAATGATGGGATATCCTCAAGCTTTGTAATGATTGGGATAAAACTGAACACCAAAATGATCAAAATACCCTTATGGCCTATATTAAGTAAATGTTTTGGATTAATTAAGGAATCCAAATAAGCATAGGTATTGGACTACTTTAAAAGTTATGGAACACAACTCATTGTCTGTTACCATCTAAAATATCAGTAGGATCTCCGATTAGCATAAAAATCTGTACATGTTCGGAAACAATAAGAAAACATATGTTTATTTGTATCTGCACGTTATTCAGCATCATCTGGTAGTTCTATTACTGAGCTTTCCGAAGCTCACTCTATTACTCAACATTGCAGGTTAAAAGAATTGTATCAGTGCAGCTATTAACATCAGTAAGGGAGTTTTTCCGACGTTGTTTGCAGAGTACGGTACATGTGATTAGGGGGCACGTAATTGTATTTTGTTTTATATATACGAGTCTGAAAATCTGTTTTATTTCTGCATACTGATAAATGATTTTATAAGTTTACATGTTATGATAAAAAGTTTTAAATTTTTCGCTATTTTTACAGTGTGTCGCTCCAGTGGCCCTGATGTGACAACCCAGATCGGATCGGGTTACCCGTATCGGTCTAGGGGTTACAACTTTTCATAGTGTCATTTTGGTCACCCACTATTAAAAATTAACAATGATCGTTATTAATTTTTTTTAAAAATGCCACGTCAATAGTCAATGACGGATCCATACATTTTTTTAGGGTGGACACACACATATTAATAATACAAAATTTTTGGATGAGGTAGACACAAATAAAATTTCAAGATGAACGTTATTAGTAAAATAAGTAACTAACCGAAAAAAATTTAGATTCTAGTGCCCACCCTCAACAATATGTGGCTCTGCCATTGTTAATAGTTCTATTGATTTTCTAATGGTGGATGACCAAAATGAAACATAAATGTAACATTAGACATGAATTTTAAAAAAAATAATAGTTGAATGATCAAAACAGAATAAAAGTAATAGTTGAGTTGCTAAACATGTAATTTATCCATTAGTGACTGTCCCCAACTAAAGTCGGAAAACAAATGGACTTTTTATTCCTTTTGCTTTTGAATTTTTTATGATTCAAAGAATCTTAAAAATTCAATAAATTATGGAAATAAACACTAAAACGGAAATAAACGCAAAATGTATCTGTCAAATTATATGTATCCATATACTTAGTGAAAGGGAAACTAATTGGCTGTCGGGTCACTCTATCTCACCATTAATAATTTCTGAATCTTAATATGATTTCTTTCCTTTCAGTTCACATTCCCTTTCAACACTATAAAATAAACTCATCCCATTGTCAACTCAATCCAATATACTCTAACAATGGCGTCTTTTCTGTTTGCTATCCTTGTTCTCTCATCATCCCTTTGCCTTATTGATGCTCATAATGGTGGTTTCAGTGTTGAGTTAATCCACCGTGACTCGGTTAAATCTCCCTTTTACAATCCTTCCGAAACCGCCTCTGATCGTATCACCAACGCCTTGCGTCGTTCCTTCAATCGTGTTAATCACTTCAAGCCAAGTTCTGTCTCGACAAAGACGGTGGAAGCTGATATTATCGTCAATTCCGGTGAATATCTGATGAATATATCGATTGGCACCCCGGGTTTCGATATCGTTGCAATAGCTGATACGGGAAGTGATCTTATTTGGACTCAATGCAAGCCTTGTTCTCAGTGTTTCACACAGGAAGCTCCACTATTTGACCCTAGTAAGTCGTCGACTTACAGGAAGCTTTCTTGCTCTGCAAGTCAATGTGGCAGTTTTCAACAGAGCTCTTGTTCTACTGATGATACTTGCCAATATTCAGTTGGTTATGGCGATAAATCTTTTTCGAGAGGCAATCTTGCTGCCGATACACTCAACTTGGCTTCGACAACCGGTCGGCCTGTGGCTGTTCCTAAAACAGTCATCGGTTGTGGACTCGACAATGGTGGAACATTCAATGAGAAATCCTCCGGAATTATTGGCCTTGGAGGCGGTAAAGTTTCACTTATTTCCCAATTGGGAACTTCCATTGAAGGCAAATTCTCCTACTGCTTGTTGCCAATTTCTGAAACAGGGAAGTCCACCAAATTGAACTTTGGCTCCAACGCAGTAGTTTCAGGTGCTGGAGTTGTTTCGACTCCATTGGTCAAAAGCACACCCGACACTTTCTACTACTTGACCCTTGAGGCCATCAGTGTCGGAACCAAGAGAATCGATTTCACCGGCTCCTCACCCGGTTCAGGTGAAGGCAACATAATCATCGATTCAGGCACTACTTTGACGTTACTCCCATCGGATTTTTACTCGGACCTCGAGTCGGCTGTTGATAGTCAGATTAATGCCACAAGGGCTGAAGGTCCTCAGGGTCTGAGTTTATGCTACGAAGCTCAAAACGACATCGAAGTTCCTGCTATCACCGTGCATTTCACCAATGCCGATGTCGAGCTGAAGCCATTGAACACCTTCGTCAGGGTATCTGATACAACCGTATGCTTCACTTTCACTGCAAACAATGATTTTGCAATCTATGGAAATTTAGCACAGATGAATTTCTTGGTTGGATATGATACTGAAAAGCAGACGGTGTCGTTTAAGCCAACTGATTGCTCCAAAAATTAGCCTTCTTTGCACAATATATTTCAACATTATGGTGTGATTTTAATTTAAGTGTTGTGTTATTTTAAATATTGATTATTACTATCTTTGTGTTATCCTTTGTCATCAGTCCACTTGTTTATAAAGATATAATTATCTCTCTTCCTTCTAAGTTTGTGTTTTGGGTTATTGTTTTATTTAATCAACTGTGACTTTTAGTGTATTTTGTTTGGTTATCCTCCGATTCTCAGGGTTTCGTATTGATTAATCCGAATTGACTTAGATCACACATCTAGTTTTGACGATTTAAACGATATTAAGTTACTTATCACTTAAAACAACCTCTATTAATACTTAGCATATTTTGATTCCAAAATATTAGGATTATCAATCTTTAAAAATTGTTCAACGATATCAAATTTATTAAATAATTTATTTAAACGAATCTTATAGAAATTTATTATAAAAACAGCATTTCCAATTTAATTTAAAAACACCGAAGATGTCAATGAAAATGGAATATAAATTTTATTGCACAAAACAATGCTGACGAAAAAAAATAAAAAATCAATTTCAATTATAATATTTGATTTACTTTCGAATAAGTTTTAATAATTTTAAATTAGTTTCATTCAAATATTATTTGGTTTGGATTGATTCTTTGTTTCTAAATTTAAAAAAAAATCAATCCTAATTAATTTTCAGTTTTATTTAGTTTATATTAATTTTTATGATATAAAAATTTAAATTTTATATTTAAATGAGTGAAGTAACTTAAAGTACCATAAACAATTTTTTTTAAAATCCATAAATGAATCCAATTCTACATTTTTTTATTTAGATCTATTAGTAGCCAAATAAAATATGTTATTCATCTAAATTTTTTTTATGTTTATAAAAAAATAAATTATACTCAAATTGACATTTTGTTATTCCTCTCAACTTTTTGAAGTTGAGAAGCCAATCGAGCAGGATACCTCCTTCACTGAACTCCGGCCCTGACTGTAAGTAATAGACAGAGGCGATGTCTTCCATCATCGTCTTTGATTCATACCTCTATGACCTCAAACTTAAGTTTGAAGCTGTGTAGTCAACTGTAGATAACTTTGGCAAATGCAAATCTTTGTGTTAGTTAATGTGTTTAGGACTGATGTTAGTGTTTGCTATTTTTTAATTTATTTTTTATTTGAATTTAAGTGTACACTTTAAATTTATGAGCATATTGTTAGAGGGTTATTAATTTTATTTTGTTTAAATTATGAACGTTATTGAATAAAATGTGTTTAATTTTCTTCATCAATTAAGTTTTCTTTTCATTAAAATACCAACAAGTAATAGAATTTTTTTCATAAGGGACTTGTGTTAGTGTTTGCTACCTCGTAAAAGTCTCTTCGATCTCACCGTCTACGTTTGACGGAGACAATTCTAAGGTTTAAATAGTACATATGGAGACTTACCTAGAGGTTGCAGATCTCTAAGAAGCAGTGGAAGAAGAATATGAAATTCCTATGTTGCCGACCAATCTCATCATAGCATAAATCATAGTATAAAAAGAAAAAAAAAACAAGAAAATCAAAGGCAAAAGCATGTTTGTTTGTTGCAGTATCATTAACTATTTTCTCCCGAATTATGTATATAAAGTCAACAAAGGAGATATGTGATTATCTCAAGAATGAGATACTCAAGGAATGTTTTGGGAGGCTCATTAGCATAGTCAATAAGATCAAACTGGTAGGTTCGTCTCTACCAAATTCAAGGATTGTGTAGAAAATCCTTGTAACAGTACCTGAAAGGTTTAAGGCTACCATCACCACCTTAGAGAATACGAAAGATATGTTAATGATTACTTTGGTGAAACTCTTAAGTGTTTTGCAAGCACAACCAGTTAAGCATGAAAATGATGAAAAGAACAGGAGGTCAAAGGAAGAAGAAATTTCACACTACGATACAAGTGGAGAGAACTTTGCATTTGAGAATAAAAATAAAACTGGAAATAGAAGGCCATAAGTAAAGAAGGATTATCCTCCATGTCAACACTACGATAAGAAAGATCACCCTTTTTTCAAGTGCCGGAGAAGATCATATGCCAAGTGTAACAAGTGTAACCAAATTGGACATGAAACTGTTATTTGTTAGTATAAAAGCCAACAACAAAAAGGTGAAATATAAGTGGCAGATGAAGAAGAAGATCATTTTTTTTGTCGCAGCTCTTTGGCCCTATTTTCCATTTCTTTGTTTTCTCCAACAGTTAACCCCCCTTAATTTTCTCTATTTTTACTGCTTCAATTAATTGTTGCCACCGGGAATTTCACAATCGTCATCATTTCACTCCCTTTGTCGTCCCGATCAAATCCTATATATTTTTATCTCTTCATTGGTAACCAAAAGCGTGTACCGAGTGAGATCATACCCTTGAGTTTCAAAGGTTATTCCTCTGCTATGCTCCTCATTTCCCCCTTAACGTTTGATTGTAGTAGGTGCTTCTCAGCCTCTCTACTTTTTCTTGTCCTCTATCATTTCGTTTCCTTTTGGTTTTCGTTCGTGTTGAGTATCCATGTGCCTCTCATGTTCTGCCAACTTCCAGTCCCTGTTGTTGCCATCGAGGAGCCCCAAACCCATACTATTGTTGGGCTTTACGGTGAAACCCTAACCCATAATAGTGTGTTTGGAACGAAAGTATAATAAAATGTTTTAATTGATACAGAATTTAGAAGATGTTATAGCCATGGAAGAGCACAAGGTTCTTAATCTTGAGGTCGTGGGATAGAGTCCCACGGAGGGCATTTCATAATTCGGAGGTCTTCTACGGAGTTGCTCTCAACTTGGTGTTGAGCAGCCTACTATCTTACCTCCCCTTTACCCCATTACATATGGGAACAAGGGATAGCCATTTTTATAGCCATGGAAGAGAATGGAAGTAGGAGCAAGCTCAACACTTACAATCCTACTGGTATATATTTACTGCATTCATTCTCATCATTTAGTTAATATTCATTTCTTTCCTCCATATAACATTCTTAATATTTTTTCATTTTCTATGTTGCAGATTCTGGAAAAATTAATAGCATCACCAGTTCCTGCTATAAGACTTGCAAGCTTAATAATTAATAGGATTACAAATCTTATAATCGATAATGTTGTTAAATCATTATGCCTCAGCTCAAATTTAAAGTTCCTATAAATATGAATATATAGTATTTACTATCAGTTGCTTTCTGGTAAGTAAGGACATTAAATAAATAAGTAATATGTTTTTATTTTATGCTCTTGGTACATTTTTCATCTTCTTATTTCAAATGATTTTGGATTAATTTCTTATAATTTTTCTCATTTTCTACTCACATTTATCTGTTGGGTAAAAGTTACAAAATTGTTATATTGTTAAGAAATTTGAAAAAGAAAAAAAAACATAAATATAAAATTATTTAAAGACAAATTGAGCATGTAATATATTTTTCAAATAAAAAATTGATTGAATACGATAATTGATCAAATGAAAAAAAAAGTAAATATAATTATATATTTTTATCAAAATATTTAAGTATTTTATTCTTATATTAGTTTTTTATTTGTAAGATTATTAAAATAGAAATACTCTCATAATTATGATACATGTTCTTTCAATCAATTCATATTTTGTAGGCCATTTTAATTTTAAAACTAATTTGCATATTAATAATATGCGCATGATAATTTTATGTATAATTTAAAACATGTTTAAAATTTTAAATTTTATATAAAGTCAAGTAAAATATATAAACATAATAACATTTGGAAATATTTATTTTGGATAGTTATTCGAATAAGGAAATATAATATTATCCCTATAATTGAAAATGCATAATAACTTTTCATAGTTTTTGGATAGTAATTTATATAAGCAAATGTACCGCTATTTATATAATTGAATATGTATAATAATTTTTCATAGTTTTTTGGATGCTTTAAACAAGTGTATCATTATTCATATAATTAACAATATATAATTATAAGTATTTATAGTTTTTCTGGATAATTATTTATATAAAAATATATAATAGTTAATTTTTGTGTAATCATGTATTCATAGATTTTTTTCATAAATATCTTCCATTCCATGCATGTATTGTTATTTTTCATATTTTATATGTGCTATATTAATCTATTGTTATTTTTCATTCCAAATAATGTTATACAATTATTTTTTAATACATCGTTATCATGTTTATAACATTTTTCAAATATAATCTTTAGTCATATACAATACTCTTAATATATTCAAGTTCATGTCACAATCACATCACATTTCACGATCATCATTTCATTTCAATAACATTTCAATAATGATACCCACCCTCATGTGTACATATAATTGTTACTGGATATACAAATCTCTTGTACACCTTTTGACTAACACGTCATATAAGTATTCACATTGTCCTCCAATTATATAATAGTGTTTTATCGAGTTAAAAGTTACAAAATGATTATCCGATTAGAGAAAGTTGATTTGTTGAGTCCCTCACTATTAAAAGTTATAAAATGATTACCTACTATTCATTACGTTTTAAACTCGTCCTTTTCCGTTAAAAAATTAATGACAGTCTGAGCTATACATTAACTTGTTGACTGAGATATGATAAAATTTGATATCATAATCTCAAACGACTATCATATCTTAATTATTATATTAATTTCTAACACAAACGACCATTAATTTTTAATGAAAAATAACGAGTTTGGAACATAATGAATAATCAGGTGATAATTTTATGACTTTTAATACTTGAATGACTCAATAAAGTAGTATATTATAGTCAAAAGTACATTTGTGTACTTTACCCTCTCAATTTCTAATTATGCTATCTAAATCAAATTTATTTTTTAAATATATGGCAAATAATTTAATTATTCATATTATTAAACCACTTAAATTAAATAAAAATAGCATATAAAGTTGGAAAAAAACATTAATATGAATTTGAATATAAATGGTTAGGAGTGAAAGTTCGATCGAGTAGAATTCGAGTGAAGTAAAAAAATTCGAGTTGACGAGTCTTATTTTATAATTCAAATTTTATTTAGAACTTTTTTAAGTCGAGTCGAGTTGTTCGAGCTTTTTTTAATTTAATTAGAAATATTTACAATATTATGTTAATATTTTATTCTAATTTAAATAAATTTATGTAACCATACACAATATATATATATATGAAAACGAGGTCAGCTAACAGAGAAAAAGGAGGGGAAAGGCAAAGACATTGAAGGCGGCGTAAAAGGCAAGTGTTAATTTTATTTTATTTGGTGACATTTTGTTGTTTCCCTTTATTACGAAAAGGGCCCACAACTTTGCTCTTTTAGCATTTTATTGCCTTTATTTTTGTTTTCCTAACGTCAGCATCATTCTTAGCCACTGCATCTGTTGCCCACCCCTTCGATCCTACTTCTTTTGCTGACTAGGATGTCAGCTGACACCCACCCCATCTATGTAATAAATTGTTTTATGATTGTTTTATCACTTTATTTATATTAGGGAAAAAGGCTCCTTATGGCCCTACATTATTTTTTTATAAAAAAATCAATGTAATTATCGTATTATATGTTATTTAATATAATTATGAAACTTATAAAATAAATTTAATATGGTATTTTGATTAATATTTTTTATTGTTGACTATTACAGTATTAATATGATGATTTACGATACTAACGTTGTAATCGATTACGATTGATGATATGAGAGATGACGTGATAGAAAGCTAAATTGATTTCTTGATTTATTCTAGAGTGAATTGGTCTTTTAAAAAATTGCATAGACTTATTTACTTTTTTAAAAACAAATTTGTTTTTAAATTTGAAATATAAAAATATTCAAATATTTAAAAGAAATTAAATATAAAAATACTAAAAATTACTAATAAATTAAAATATTAAATTATTACAAAATAATATATATATATATATATATATAATATATATATATATATATATATATATATATATCAGTCGAGACTTTTAAATTTTGTATCTAAATATAATTAGAAAACATAATACATTTTGACTAATCCAAAATTTATAAGTCTTGACTAATTCAAATTTTGTAAGTCTCGATTAACCCAATAAAAATCCATTGTATAAGTGTTGATGATATACCTATATGTTACATGTATATAATATGCATAATATATCTTTTTTAAAATATTTTTAAATTTTTAAATAATTTATAAGTTATCATTTTATAACTTGTGATATATATTTAATTTTTAATTTTTTTAATAATATTTTAGTATTTTAACATATATATATTTAATTTTTTAGTAATTTAGTTTTTATTTTGAATATTTTATATTTAAAATTTAAAATAATTTTAATATATTTTAGAAAATTAAAGAAGCCCCTGAACTTTTTAGAAAATTCAATTTGACACTCGAACAAAACCAAAAAATCAATTTAGCTCATCTTCCATGTCATCCACCAAGTCACCAGTCATCGTAGATTGCGACATCAACATCGTGAATCGTCTCATCATCATCGTAATAGTCAACGGCAAACATCATTGATCAAAAACCAACATTAAGTTTGTTTTCTGAATTGGAGGTGGTAAGAACCCTCACATAAAGACCATGGATTAGGGGAGGTACCCTTCCTTTACTTTTTAGTTTTCATGCATTGCCTTTAGATTAATTTATGCATTGAGGTGAATGCTCCTAACAAGTTTGAGGGAGTTGTTCTTAGCGTAAACACCATGCATTTTAATTTTAGTTTAACTTTTCAATAAAATTGTCATTTCCATGACATTTTTTAACTCAGAACAGTATGTGAGCATTTGATGAAGTCCTATGATAATAACTGCTATGGTAACTTAATTTTGAAATCCTTTAGATTTGAAGAGCAGTTTAGAACTAATCTTAGAGAAAGCATTTGTGCCTATTATATGAACACATTTGTATGTTTTAAATCTTTAATAAACTTAGCAAGTAGTAGAATTCTTTTTCCTTATTAAAAAAACGTAAAGGTGCCTATCTGGTTTTAGCAGGAAAAAAAAAGCTAGAGATGCCTATTTAGCTCTAGCGGGAACAAAATTGTAATAAATTGTCGAAGGCAAAAAAATTCCGAGACACTTTACTGCCATCCTAATCCGGCACGGAAAGATAGTTAAATGCGTATGAGAAAATGAAAGTCTTCACAAATGACTCTACTCAATAGGTTTAAGGTTCATTGTATGCTCAGTCTTATCTACAAGTTTAAGAAAGTAATTGTGATGAGTTGAAGCCGCAGAAATTTATAAAAAAAATAGAATAGTGTGTAGTATAACAATTATCGGGCAACTTTTTGAGTAATAAACTAAAACTTTATAAGGATCTTAGTTATTAATTACATGCAACTCTTTGCACACGTACATATAAATATTGCTGGTTTCGTATTTTGATGTTTGGCTCTGTAAACTTGAATAATTTGCTCAACCCATTAACTGATTTTTTTCCTTGGCTTATCGGGTTGATGGTTTTGTGAATGCATGCTATTGTTCATGGTATTTTGATGTTTATTTGCGTCTCATTGTGAATTAAGTAGTTTAGGCATAAATGCTTAATTCTTATATATTTACTTAGTATTGAAAGAGCTAAGTTCATGAAAGATATTGTTTGAATATAATTTTTCATTATTCGAAAGTTGGTGAAAACTAATTACCTTAGACATATATAAGGAAGTGTTTCAGGTGATCAAAAGGAGTGATCGTAAACGGTGATAATCATATCAAGGTTCATATAGACATATATTATTGTGTCATAACTATCTTAGGTCTTTTGTTAGACATAGTTGGAGGACATCAAAGAAACTCTGTCTAATATCAGAATAAGTGAACTTATCGTGGCAATTCATTCGACAACGATATCACAATTCCTGATAACCCTACACAATAATCTATATTGATAGATTGTGTAAGTAATGAGAATCAAATGTATAATATATCAATTTTATTAGTTGTCTTGTTAACTCCTCCGTTGAATGTTAATATGTAATTTGATTAATATCATTTAAATGTACAAATGACCTGATTGAAAATTTAAAAATTTAATATTTTTTCTCATAATTAAATAATTATGGATATAATTTATCCTAATTTTAAGACAAGGAAAGCAAGCACAAAATATAAATGTCGTATATAAATTTCCAATTTTGTGTTTTTTTAATTCCAAGATCCTAAAATGATTCTAAAAATAATTTATCCGTACCCAGTTGCAAAAAATAAAATTATCGGTGGCCAATATTTTATTGTAAACAATAAGATAACATGGCCTAGATTTTATAACCACGCCGAGGGCCAAAAAGTAAAATATATAAAACATTTCTATTCAATACACTTTTTAAATGTTATTTATTTATTATTTCGACGAATTTTCCATCGGATATTTTACTAAAATAAAAAACAGCATTTATTTATTTATATCACCTTAACACCATGTCAGGTATTATCGGTAACATTTGTAATATATCATTTAATAGTGTTATACGTATTAAATGCTGCTGCTGCTGAATGTAGATTAACTTTATTCATTATTTGATATTCAATGTATTAATAAAATATTAAATTATAAAATTTTAAATTCATTTCATATTCAATGTATTAATTTTGAATTGTTACTAAATATACATATTAAATCAATTAATTATATATTTGATAGTTTTATAAATTATATATTTCTAAAGAATTTATCAATAATTTTTAACTAAAATCTTAAAAATTATAATTAATATATTTGTTTAGTTTTAAAATAATATATTGTTAAATATAATCATTGATATTTAATTTATTAATCAATTAATATGAACCAAATATAATAAAAGTAGTTTTATTATAGAGATAACCTTCTCAATCTTATTTTTATTCATAATATTAAAATGTACATATCTAATCTTATATAAAGATCTAACATCTATTCTCGTTACAACAATAGATAATTAATAATATATTATTAATTTTTGATTGAATATATTATTAAACTTTAATAAATGATAATTAAATAAATTTTCATATTTAAAGCTCTAATTTATAAATAAAAAAGGTATAATGTTAAAAATAATCCCCTAAGGTTTATCAAAATAGTCATTTTGACGTATATTCTTTTTTTTAGAGTATTTTAGACTCAACTTTCACATTGGGACATAAAACTCCCTCTATAAATGAAAACTATTAATTAACACATAACTTTTAAAATAGAAATCTTTTATAACCTAAAATAAAGCATCAAGGTTAAAGTATCAAAAATAAATAAATATTAAATCATTATTCTTTCAAATATTAAAACTCTTTTTATTTGTGTTGATGCTTATCTTTCAAAATAATAGTAGTAAAATGAAGTGGAAAAGCTTAAGAAATTGTACTCTGATCCTTCACGTTCTTTATGCTTTATCAGTTTATCTGAGAGGAAAATATATTTTCTTTTATTAACTTTCTTTTTACTTGGTGTTTTAAGCGGTTTTCTGGGATTTTAGAGAAAAGGAGTAAATACACTATAAAAAGTTGCTTCCTTTCTTCTCCGAAGGAGTCTTCTTTTTCCTCCTACTCATTCTAAAATCACGTTCTTTTTTAAAGTTATGGTTCTTGCTCTTCATTCTTGCAAAAACATAAAAACTTTTATGTAAAAATGAACGGTGGAGATCCAGCTTTCAAGCTCTTTGGAAGGAAGATTCCTGTGTCTGAACCTCAGATTCATTCTGGGGTAAGCTTACATATATTCAAACTTCATTTCTTTTGAGACATTGGTTTAATGTTTTTGTTTTGCTCCTTTTATGCTTTCTCCTGAAGTTTACTGCAAATTTTAGTTGTTGTTGTTCGGCTTCATATTTATGGGTTTTTTGTTATGATTTTTGGAAAAATAGTAAAGCTTTGAAGCTCTGTTATGGCCCCCAAAGTTGAAGCTTTAGGACTTAAAAGACTTGTTTTTTTCTTGGTGTCTCAAGTTTCATATTTTCTTGTTTTATTGAGCATTTATTGACTTTGTATTTTGGAATGAATCTGTACAACGTTCACGTAGCAAACGCAGTTGCTTGAACCCGGGGTTTATATAGAGAATAGCATCCCCTTTAACCATCGTATTTGCGTGATGGGTTTTAAATCTGTTTGCTTTTAAGGTATAAATGGTTAATGGTTTCACATGTTTTTTTATACTGTGTAGTTTTAAAAGAACTATTCATGCCTTAACATTTGCAAATTATGTTTATCTTTTTGTAGTTCTTTTAAATGATTTTGGGGTTTTGGCTGTATGGGTTATATAATTTATCAGGAATTTTCTAAAACATGTTTCTGTATAGAGTTTGATTGCTTTGGGAACTCATTTGATGTTTCTTTAACTTTTATTGGATTTTTTCTTGCACATTTCTACATAGAAAAACTCCATTTTTATCAGGTAGATTTGTCATTGTAACAAAATCAAGTGACTGTTGTTTTCTTTTGATGAAATTGTTTTCCTGAAACCACATTGGATCATTTTGTTTTGGTATTTACGATTTCTGAATCTTAAAAGAGCTTTATAAAGATATATTTTTTTGTTGTATTTGGATGAAGGGAAAACCAGTTGGTCTAGCTTGATTTCTTAGAAGCTGTTCATGGTGATTCTTTTGCATAAAGTGTTGTAATTATTACAGTCATGCTTTCCTCCATGTTTGTAATGCTGTTTTGGTTTTGAATTTCAGGATTCAAGTAGTGAGGTAACCAACCCGGAAATCGAAACTTTGAAATCGAACACGTCTGGTGAGGCAGATAAGTCCATTGTGGTGGAAAATGATAAGGAAGAACACCAAACGTGTACGAAATCGACTGAGACGCAAATAGACGAACAGCCGGAGACAAATGGAACCGATCAAGAGATAGTTTTCAAGAAGCCAGACAAGATCCTTCCATGTCCGCGGTGCAACAGCTTAGACACGAAATTCTGTTACTTCAATAACTACAATGTCAACCAACCTCGACACTTTTGTAAGAATTGCCAGAGATATTGGACTGCTGGTGGAACAATGCGGAATGTTCCCATCGGTGCAGGTCGGAGGAAGAATAAACACTTGGCCTTGCAGTACCGTCAGATAATAGTTTCTTCTGATGGAGTACCAATGACTCAGATCGAAACCACCGACTCTGCTAATCAACAGCTTCTATCTCCTCGTGAATCTACAACTGCCTTTAGGCCTTCCATGGGGAATGGAACAGTTCTGAAATTCGGTGCCGAAGCGCCCCTTTGTGAATCCATGGAAACTGTCCTTAGCCTTGGAGACCAGAAGAGATGTGTCCAGACTGGAACGGTCGGTTCCGTAGAAATACGTGAGGAACCCTTTTCCGGCGGATCTTCAGTGACACCTTGCAGCACACAGGGGAATGAATTTCCCGGACATGTCATACAAAGAGAGAGAATAGGTTTGGCCGGACCTAATGAGCATAACACACAGCATCTGCCACACTGCTATCCCATTCCACCCTGGATTTTGCCTTGGAATCAAGGACCGAATAACGTAGCTCCTGTGGCAACCTTTCAGTGTTCTTCCGATCATATTAGTGCAACAAATAGTAATAATTCCAATGCAGTTCCTCAATGGTGCCCTACATCATTGGTGGCTGTTCCTGGATTTTGCCCACCAAATATACCCTTACCGTTTGTGCCCGCCTATTGGGGTTGTATGCCTCTATGGACCGCTCCCGGCGGAATTGTATCATTCAATGGCTCCAATAGTTGCCTGTCCACATCATCCTCGACTAGCAACTGTTGCGGCTCTGGCAATGTTTCACCGACACTAGGCAAACATTCCAGGGAAGCAAATTTCGTCGAGGATGAGCAACCGGAAAAGTGTGTTCTGGTTCCGAAAACACTAAGAATGGATGATCCAAATGAAGCTTCAAGGAGTCCTATATGGGCAACATTAGGTATTAAACTCGAGAAGAAAGATCCTTTCAATGCCGTTGAATCCAAAGCAGAAGGCAAAGAGAGCACATGATTTTCTCTGACAAGGTAAGCAATGTATCAATTCTTCCTTTGAAAACTCTGTATATAGTAGAAGAAACCATGGTTTTATTCGAATTCGAGTCGAGATATAATTAAATCATTCGGATTTGATTAAATTTGATTATTAATTTTTTATTCGAATTCAACTACTCGAGTTTGATTATACTCGTTTATATTTAAGCTCAATTCAAATTTAGATTAAGTTTATCGATATTTGACTTGTGTTTGACAAAACATTATAATATAAGTTTGATTTTGATTTGATAATTGAGATATAATCGAGTTATGATTAAATTTGATTATTAATTTTTTTATTCAAATTCAATTACTCAAGTTTAATTAGGTTCGATTGTATTTAAATTTAAGTTTAAACTCAAATTAAGTGTAGCATTTATATAATTAATAAGTTAAAATATAAATGCATATATATTTAGTTTAATTACTAATAATTAATTAATTAATTAATTAATCTAAATTGAATATTGTAAAGTTTATTTATAGGTGATTTTTCTAGTTCAATTTATTACATATTCACGGGGTTAGTTTAATTATTTTTTAATCTAATTTAATTTTTAAAGTTAAATAATTTACGAATGCTAGAGTCTCATGCTTACATGTATTTTAATTATTTTTTGTTGATAATCTTATATTAGTTAGCTGCTACCAATGCATTTGATTTCTTTTGTATGGATAATTTTACTAGTTAGCAGCTGGAATTATAGATGATAATTCAGTTCTAAAAAAAAAAACCAAATAAAGCACAATATCATGATTTCTAGTTAGCAGAAGTTTAATTAGTTTAATTCGGTTGGGTTAATTGATTTTAAATTATAGATATCTTTTTAGGGTATAGTGGGTGTTGTTTTACTATAAGATGTTACTTTGTTGTGTCTCTGACTATTAGAAGTTACACAATGGTCCTCAGACTATAAGGTGTTACTTTGTTGAGTTTCTCAATTATTAAAAGTTACAAAATGATCACCTTACTATTCATATATTCTAAACTTATACTTTTCTGCTAAAAAATATAATGGTCGTATGAGCTGGACGTTAACCTATTAATAAGAATATGATAAATTAGGATCTCAAAACTTACACCAATACTGGAATAACATAATTATTATAGTTCATTACACTTTGGACATTGAAATTTTCAATCAATTTCCGACATAATTTTCGACGAATTGGTCTCGACTTTATTCTTGATCAAAGACATGAAGCGATTTTTTCTTATAATATCATCATCTTTATCATTAGTTGATTGTACAATTCCGAAAATTTCTTTAGACTACACCTTATCCATTGTTTATATCATTGCTTTTCTTTCTTCTTTTTTTCTCACAACTATACGGTCGACAAACAAAATACCATAATACATTCATACAATTTCAATATTAAACCATAAATTTCATTACTTTTTGAAACAACTTTCATAATGTTTTCAAATATATATTCCTAATCATGCAACAATATGTGGTTTAAACTCATTTTGATCATCATTAAATGCCTTTCCATAAACCATTTTATGATTAAAAAAAACCCTTTAATCCCTCCATAGTTTGGTCACGAAGATGATAGTAACTCACTTCATCATCTTCCCAATGCTTGTAAAAATGACGTCGCACTCTGCTTACCTTTGATCTAATCAGCCTGTGCACCTTTAACAGGTTAGCTTTAAAACATGTTTTTTAAACGAAAAAAGGGTACTGAAATCGATAGTTCTACAATATTTACGGTCATTTTTATTTGATTTTGCAATGTTGTTGGATGATGGAATAGTCAAGCAAGGAAGTGGAATGGAATCTGATACTAAAACCAATGTTTTCTCAAGGATTATTTTTCTTTTCTTTTCAGAGTAGTTAGGATTAGCTGTTTCAAAAAGAAAAGGGGGTAAAAGTATAAAGTATGGTTGCGAGTTCCAACTATTAAAAATTATAAATTGTCTCTTAGTTATAGAACGTTACTTTGTTGAGTTCTCTCACTATTAAAAGTTGCAAAATGATCATTCGACTATTCATATATTCCAAACTCGTCTTTTTTCGTTAAAAATTAACAGTCGTCTGAGGGACATTAGCATGCTAATTGTGACATGAAAAAAATTTGATATCAGAATCGTGTGAGTTGCATTTTGTGTATCAACTCTCTATTTACATTATGCCTTTGAGCCAGTGCTTGAAATATTATGTCGTCGGTCCAGTGCTCGAAACATTATGATGGTGCCATAGACATCATTAAAATATGATTTTATCATATCTCAATCAACAATCTAAAGACCATCAAATTTTAACGAAAAATGATAAATTTGGAACATACGAATAATCGGGCAACCGTTTTGTAACATTTAATGTTTGTAGGATTCAACAAAATAATCCTCTATAGTCAGATGATAATTTTATAACTTTTAGTAGTTATGAGACTCAACAAAATTATACCCTATAATCGGGATCATTTGTGTACTTTACGCAAAAAATTAACATATGAGAAAGTGGTATTGATTCCTGAAAATAAAAATATTATTGATGTACGATTAATATGCAATTTTCAGATTGATAATTGAATCTAGGAGATAAATTGTGCATTTATAATGAATGTGGGGGGGGGGGGTGGCTGAATTCAATTTAATATGGAAAAGCCATAAGGTTGATGTCAAATTCAGGCTTTATAAGCAAATACTAGAGGATTAATGGCAAGTTTAGTAGGAAGGATTTTGCCTGTATTCGGTGTATGTATATTCTAATTTTATAATTTGATCCAGTAGTTAAAATTAAGCATTCTTTCTTTTTGTTGCCAAGGTTCGGGTCTCTTTAAAACTTCATCCTTATTTCTTTAATTTTTAAGTATTTAATATTTTTTAATGTAAACAGAATCAATTAGTTTTATTAAAAAAAGATAATGTCATTTGAAATCATATAATTAGAACATCTTTATAGCTATTAACACAAAAAATTAGGCATTTGAAATCATATAAGAGCCATATAAAAAAAAATGTTAAAAACTCATCTAAAAAAATAGTACATTATTTCTCTCATTGGTAAGCCATTCATCTATTTTTCTTTTTGTCTTTGTTAATCGCGACAACACCAATTTTAATGTTGGTTGCCGACCGCTGGTATTCTTTATTGTCTTTTTTAATTTCTTTTGTTTTTTTAATATGTCTGCCTATATGACAAGTTTTTCCTTTGCCTTCATGTCACATTTTCTTATGTCTTTTAGTACGCTTTTTTAATTGTTTGAACGTTGTTTTCATTTATCTTTTTCTAACTATTGATTAGACATCACCACGACTAATCAATATGATGTCTATCTGATATATTGTTTATCTTCCCTACTTTTGACTCTCGGGATAGATTTCGATACATGTTATGTGTTCGTGGATAGCTTTTCATATCAATTGAGTCTGATTTATGGTTTGTCAGTGGTCTTTCAGTAGCTTGATCCCCTTTTATGGTTCGTTTGTCAATGCGATCAGTTCTATTTATATTTATATCTTTGTTTGAGTTTTATTGGTTAGATTTTAATATTTCCTTGTATGGTCCTTATGTGATCTTAAGTTGCTAGTTTTATTTTAATTATTATAAGAAATTGTTCTAATTATGTCTTTAATTTACGATTATGATTGTAATTTTTATTATAATTTATGATATTTTCTATTTTGAATAAAATTAGTGATTTATCAAAAAAAACTCATCTAAAAAACCATATGTGACTGCATTGAAAAATGAACCACAACAAACAATTGAACTATTGAAAGACCATCGACAATCACAAATCAGAGCCTAGCGTCGTGAGAAAATTATTTCCAAATGCAAACCGTGTATCCAAATCCAATTCGAGGATCTAAAGCAGGGAGTATCAACATGATAACGAATAAGTGTCATATTGATCAGTCGAGAGTCGTCAAATCCAAACATGAGAAAAGTAAATGAAAAAATGATCAGATGAATAAAAATATGCCAAAAGGCAGAGTTATTGAAAATTAAAATACAAAACAAAGAAAAAACAAGATGTGATATAATACAATCAAGGGACGAAGCCATAACATAATTATAACATAGGCCAAATCTTTTTAGTGGCTTTAAATTTTATACATAATTTTATTATTTATTTATTTAAAAAATATAAATGATAACATTAAATATGCATATTGGTTCTATTATTTCTATGAAATAACAAGTAAAAAATTAAAAATAAAATCAAAGTAAATAATAAAAAATATACGATTTTAAAAGGTGTCAAATACATAACTATCACATAATCATAATAAAACATGTTGCTCCTTCAAATTTCGAAATGCATCCACGAGTGATATTGTACTAAATATACTAAAATTAAATAAATGATCAAACAACTCTAATTAATAAATTATAATATTACTTGATAACTTACCTTTATAAATTTACACTCATTTAAATTTAGACCACTTCAGTAAATTCAAACAATCATAATAGAAGGGGCTTACTTTTGTTGTGGAACTGATGTTTCTATCATAATATTTTATGATGGAAGAACAAAGACTTTACAACTTATTATATTATGTTTTTAGAAAGAAAAAATCTTTGCAATTTTTATGATAAACTGCACGTTTAATATATAAACTATAACTTTTATTATGTTTAGGTACCAAAACTTTATTTTTTTTAAAAACTATATCTAACGTTTAGTTTAAGTTTTATTTTGGTACTCCGTCGTTAAAAAATTAACGATGATATTGATGTGTCACCATAAGATAATATCGTGTCATCATTGAAAAAATAAAAGGTCATATCAACAATTCTATTGATTTCTTTAATGACAAATATCAAATTGAAATTTAAACTAAATGTTAGATATGATTTGGAAAAAAAATAAAATTTAAGCACCAAAATGAAACAAAAATAATTGTTTTGGTACTAAACTTATAGTTAATCCAATTTTTTAACTATTCTTGTACTAGATTACAAATTAAATTTATAAATTTCAAAAGGTCGAGAGCCCTTTGAACCCCAATGGCCC